AATTCCGAAAAACCTGCTTTGAATTTCAGTGAACTTAAAAAATGAATGTGTTAGTTCGTTAATCCAGACATCAAATTACATTGGAAAAGCATTGGGTTGTTAGAAAAGTCATGACATATTTTTCTGTGCAAAAAAGTGTCATGACTTTTCTGATGACCCAGTAGTTCTTTGTATATTTGCTTTGACCACCTCTTGCCACAGTTTGGTGACAATGTGTTCTGCTTATTATTTTTTTTTCTGAAATATTTATTATAGTAATTTAACATGAAAAGGAAATTTAAAAACTTCACCCATACGCTAGCTTTTCCTCTGTTGGAGGAGGGTGCTGAGAAATGGAAGCAGAGCCCCGCTTCAGGGCGCCTGTCTGCACCCTCGTCCTTGCAGGGAGACGGCTCCGCGGGAAGGCATTCTACAACGTGGGTGAGAAAGTGTACTGCCAGGAGGACTTCCTGGTGAGTCCGAGCTGTGCCCTAGGGTACTGTGGGTGGGGGAGGGGGACTCCCATGGAGACCTGAGGCCAGGAGGCAGGTGCTGCCTGGGCAGCCAGTGCCCCTTTGTCTCACAACATCCTGGATCCTGTGTCCCCTCCCAGTACTCCGGGTTCCAGCAAACAGCCGACAAGTGTAGCGTGTGTGGACACCTCATCATGGAGATGGTGAGAACCTCCCCCAGCCTCCTGGAGCCCCTCTGGCATGGGCGGAGTCTGAGGACCCCACCCTCTCACCTGTTCCAGACCTGCCAGGGGCTCAGAGCCAGAGCCTCTTCCGGGGCCGGGGCCGGTGCTGAGCCTTCCACCAGCTGACCCTTCAGTGCCTCCCACCCCCAGATCCTGCAGGCCCTCGGCAAGTCCTACCACCCAGGCTGCTTCCGGTGCTCTGTGTGCAATGAGTGCCTGGACGGGGTGCCCTTCACCGTGGACGTGGAGAACAACATCTACTGTGTCAGAGACTATCACACGTGAGTGTCTGGTGCCAGGGAGCTGGCGTGAGTGACGCACACCGTCTCCTCTGCCTGTCCTGGAAGCCTTTTTCTGACTGCCCCTCTGTGCCCTGTCTTCAGGGCCTTTGCACTTCCAGCCTCCCCTTGCCCACTCAGTCCGGGTGTGGGTCTCAGCCTGGAGCCCCTTTCCTTGGTTCAGTCACCAGCCATCTCTTGGCTGTTTCCTCCCTAACGTTGCCTGCATGCTTCCCTTCTCCTCATGGTGGAGACTCTCCTGTTTGTCCTGTCTTCCAACTCTCCTCTTCCTCCCAGGGTCAGGCCGGGCCATTTCTGTCTGAAGTAGGGATTGACCCTTTCTCCTGCCTGCCTGGTACTCATGTAGGGAGCCGATGCTTTTTCTGTTCCGTTCCAGAGCTCCAGTCCTTTGCTGCCGCTTTGCATGGAATGCGTGCTGGGTATACGCCCCTGATACTTGGGGTAGATCCAGGATTTACAGAGATCTTAGCTAAGGGTGTCTCAAACCTGGCATTCAGGGGCAGGGAACTTACTGGAAGCATGAGGGTGATGGCAGGACAGAAGCTCTCCTGGAGGAGGTGATGGTGGAGGTGGGGAGGATCCAGATGAAAGGTCACTACCAAAAAAAGCATGACAGAAGCTGCTCCCCCAGCCCGGGTGTGCACACGAGAGGAGAGGGCCTAGTGCTTGAGCCATGTCTTGGGGCTACTGTGAGTGGATCCCTCCTTGGCTTCTGCTCACCCAGCTGGTCACATCTGTTTTTTGTTTTTTTGTTTTTTTTTTTTACTCACTCAGCTGGTCACATCTGTTTTTTGATTTATTTTTTTTTTCATCCCTTCAGGGTTTTTGCACCAAAATGTGCCTCCTGTGCCCGTCCTATCCTCCCTGCACAGGTAGGAGCCACTCACCTGGGGATGGTCTGTGGCCTGGCCTGGACCAGCCTTTGCCTCTTCCTTCTTCAGGTCTTGGCCACAGTGGGAGGGAAGAGCAGGTCCCTAAGGCCTGAGGGAGGTCGTTGTACGTGTGCATGTGGTTTGCAGGTGTGCCCTGGCATGAGGTAGAGGGAAGTGACTGTGCCAGTGCTGCCCTCAGCTCCAGCCTCCATTGCCCCTGGGTCTCTGCAGGTCTGCAGGCTGAGGTCAGGTGGACTGGGGTGGAGAGCAGGTGAGAGTGTGGTGTGTGTGCAGGGGCCACCTTGGGCAGTCCTGCTCAGGGCCCTGGGTCTTCCCATCTGTGCTGGTTCTGTCCCAGGCTGGGGTTCCTGGGGAAGCAGGGCTGACCCCCAGGAAGCGAGAATATCATGTATGCACACTTGGGCACCCCCGTGACGTGCTCACAGATACATGTGTGTGCTGTTGGCTGCAGCCACAGAGGATGCCTGAGGCACATGCACATCCATGTGCATGCACCAACGTGTCTCGCTCAGCCTCACGGACGCACCATGTCGGTGCTCACACGGGGCGAAGGCACATCTGCTGGTGAGCTCGTAGCATCGCTGTGTGCGCTCACATGCAGCTTGCCTCCAGTCCTGGGCTGCCCATGGTGTGCGAACCCCTCTCTTCTTCCAGGGCTGTGAGACAACCATCCGTGTGGTGTCCATGGACAGAGACTACCACGTGGAGTGTTACCACTGTGAGGTGAGTCTGGGCTTCCGGAAGGGTGGTCGTTGGGGCAGCCTCCACCCCGCAGTCTCCTCTCTGGGTGCCCTGGACCCACCTGCTCGCTATGGCTTTGGCCCCTCCTACCTGTCCTCTACCTCTCTCTTTCCCAGGGAGCCCCCGTTTCTCGTTCCATCATTTCATCGAATAGTTCCTGTTTTCAATGTGTGGGTGCTAGGGATGTGACAGGATAGACAGGCTCCTCTGCCATATGAGACATGGCGTCCTTGGCCGTGTGCACACAGTAAGCGCTGTGAAGGGGAGCTTGCAGAGCACATAGGAAGCCTTGGAAGGGCAGGGAGGGCTTTCTGGAAGAGGTGACACCCAAGCTAAGACTCGATGGGCGAGTGAGTTAGCTATCGAGATAGCAAGAAGTGCGTTTCTAGGTAATGGAAGCAGAGGGCACTTCAGTATAAAGTGGGCGTGTGGCTTCGTGTGGCTGGGTAAGTCGGCAGGAGCTGGGGGCAAGACCACACTCACGAAGAGGAATGATCAAGATTAAAAGATTGCATTGGGATGTTAGAAACAGCCCTCACTGCCATTCGGAGGATGAACCGGGGGAGTTGGGGTACAGAGGCCCTGAGGTCATGAGGAAGCGACAAGATTGCACTGGGATGTTAGAAACAGCTCTCGCTGCCATTCGGAGGATGAACGGGGGGAGTCGGGGTACAGAGGCCCTGAGGTCACGAGGAAGCTGACAGAGGTGGGGTTGTGGTCTTGAGTTCAAGGAAGTGGACTGAGTTGAGTGATGGTTAGCAAAAAGGACTGGATTTGGGGATGTGGGATTTAGGGTTAAGGTGTCCATCGGCACCCCGCAGAGAGTGAGGGTGCGAGGAGAGGGTAAGTCGCCCCCATTTGGTAGATGTCCAGGAGATTGCCCGATGTGTTGGAGTTTAGACTGGCCTCAGGCAGAGGGGTGCCGCGTCCTCTCTGAGACTCTGTCCTGAGAATTCTGATTGTCTCGGCCTCCCAAGACCACTGTGCTTTCTGGGACAGCCTGCTGTGGCAGGGCTCAGCTAGTCGGGTTCCTGTGCTCAGATGACTGACCCTTGGTGCCTGCCGCCCAGTGTCTGAAAGCCAGCTTCATACATGCACACGGTTTTCTTCATTGTCGGAGGCACCAGGAGAAATTCAGTTCCAGTTACTCTCGTGGCTGGAAGCAGGAGTCCCATCCTGGGCACACAGGTGGCAGCTGGAGCCAGGTGGTGAACGATAACAAAAAGTCCCGTTTTTCTGCTGCTGCCTCCCCTCAGAGCCCCGCGCGCTCTCAGGCTCCAGAGGGCACCTAGCTCCTCCTCTCAGATGTGCCAGAGGCCTCTCCAAGGGGCCCACGCTCCTCGCTCCTGTTAGTGGAAGCCCTCTCCTAGGAGGCCATGGGGAGCCACAGATGGCCTGGCACCCCGCCGCCCCGCTCACTCTGGGCTGTGTTCCTCCCTAGGACTGCGGGCTGCAGCTGAGTGGGGAGGATGGACGCCGCTGTTACCCGCTGGAGGGCCACCTGCTCTGCCGCCGCTGCCACCTGCGGCGCCTCCGGCCCGGCCCGCTGCCCTCACCGGCTGTGCATGTCACAGAGCTCTGAGCAAGGGCAGGGGCGACCCTGGGGCCGACAGGTGTGGGCGTGGGAGGGAGGTCTGGATGGTGGCCCAGGTCAGTGTTGGGTGACCTGACTACCACGTCCACCCCACCTCCGCTCCACACTTGCCACCGAGCTGCTGTCCTGTCCGCAGGGGCCGGACCCCCGCGTTGAAGCTACTTCTATTTATTCACCGTCTGTGTCTCCTCAAGCCGCTCCCCTCTGCCTCCCACCCATCCTGTCACCGGCTCTCTGTTCCCAGATCCCCTGTGCACCACTTTCAGGGGCAGTCTGGAACACCACCTGTCTGGGGCCACCGCCCTGTGCTTTGGCCTGGCCTCCCAGCGGGAGCTGGTTTCCCTTGTTTAGAAGGAGCCTGGGACCCCTCCAAGTGCACTCCCAGGAACAAGGTGTGGTCCGGAAGGCAGAGAGCATGCGTTTTTGTGTCCCATAAGTGCCTCGCCTGCTGGTGGGTGGGCAGGGTGCCTTGTTTGAGTGGAGTCACAGGAGGGTGTGGGAAATGACACCCCTGGGGATTGGGGCCTGCAAAGGGGCACATCCTTTGACTATTGTGGTCACTGGAATTTGGCCATGGGAACTCAGATGGGTGTTTTCAGCCACAATTCCTGCCGGGTCCCCACTTCCTGGCTCCTGGCTTGGGCCTCCCTTTTCACCCCCCACAACCTCCTCTTGGGAAAAGCACCTCGGCACAGAATCCAACCACAGTTCTGTCAAGAGGGACCCGAGGGGTGCCCTGCCCGCGCGGCAGGGAGGCACCTGTACGCTCACACTGTGTACCAGGCTCCACAACAAAAGGATATGATTTGACTTAAATTAAGTTTTTCCTTTGAGGATATTTTCATTTTCTTTAAAAGAATATAGTTTTTCTTCTAAGAACTTGGACCAAGGTTGTTATTTCTTGAGAAAATTATAGCAAACTCACAGATGTCCGATTTGTATATCATGTAGCTAGTGTCAGGGGATGAGAACATTGTGGTTGAACTATTTTTGTATAAATTTCTCTAAAAGCTTGCAGTATGTGTCTGCCTTTCACACTTTAGAATAGTGTGGGGTTGTGTGTCTGTGTCCTAAGAACAGTGACCTAAGGAAGTAGAGCTGGGGGTGCAGATTAATTTATTCTCTGAAAGTTAGACGAGGACAGGGGTGGCAGGGGTTGGGTGTTTTGCTGACATGGGTATGTTGGGTCTGAACTTGTGGGTGGCCCCTAGTTGCAGTAGTCACCATGGTTTTCACGGAATATGTATGTGTGTATATATATACATATACGTATGTAAATATATATATATATATTTTTTTTTTTGAGAGGTTTTTGCTATAGGGCGCGTGCGCTCGCCAGACAGAGACAGAAAGACAGAAAGTGAGAAATCACCCCCCAGAGGGGATGGCCACGCTGCAATCCCTTCTCCTCCATTCTCCTCTCGGGATCTTGGGCACACACGCACACGCGCCCAGCATGAGTTTAAGCCACCGAGTCTGGGCTCGGTGTCTCTCACTGGAGAGACAAGAGAAACAGAAAGTGAGAAATGACACCTCTCCCACCCCTCTACGGGGGGGATGGCTACACTACAATCCCTTCCCTCCATTTTCCTCTCAGGACTTTGGGCCTACATGTACATTCACCTGTCGGGACTTTGGGCATACATGTACATGCACCTGTCGTGAGTTTCGAGCTACCAGGTCTGGGAATTGGATCACGGCCAGCTGTGTTTGAGCCCAGTGTCTTTATTACCACCACCTACTGGCCCTGCACTATCTTATTTTTTGGAGAGATGTTTTGTTTTGTTTTTGGAGAGGTTTTTGCTATAGGGTGCGTGCGCTCGCCAGACAGACAGAGACAGACAGAGAAAGTGAGAAATCACTCCCAGGGGGGATGGCCATGGCCTTGCCACAATCCCTTCTCCTCCATTCTCCTCTCGGGATCTTGAGCACGCACGCACACGCGCCCGGCGTGAGTTTTAAGCCACTGGGTCCGTTTTTTTGCTATAGGGTGTGTGCACTCACCAGAGAGACAGAGAGATAGTAAGAAATCACCCCCTAGGGGGGTTGGCCACGCCGCAATTCCTTCTCCTTCATTCTCTTGGGATCTTGGGCACTCATGCAACTCCCGCCCGGCATGAGTTTAAGCCTCCGGGTCCGGGACTCAAACCACAGTTGGCTACCTGGGGGTCCAGCGACATAGCCATTATTCTAACTGCTGGCCCCTGGAATATATATATATATATATATTTATTTATTTACTTTAGTCATGATAGAACATGCATGTGCGTGAGGGGGAGGGAAAGCACCACCCGGCACCCTGCACTCCTCACACTGCTAATCCCTTTGCTGTATGCCTCCAGTTCATCACGACCTTGGGCATGGATGGATGAGTACCTGGTATGTTTACATGTTGACCAAGCAAGGGACCCAAACCCATGGTTGGCCATGTGGCTCCCAGCACAGCAGTTCAGTGTACCACCAACTGCACCCCCCAGGCTGGGCCTTCGTGGGCTGTTTTGACTGAGTCTGTTTCTACAAGAGCCCTAGCCACCTCCTTTGGTTCTTGCTCTTGCCCTCTCTTCCTCTTTCTACTAGATATGAGGTCTGTTAGCTGTTTGCCCTTCAGTTCATCATGGGAGCAAGGTGCTGGGGCCAGAAGGAATTGTCTGGGCTATGCCTGAGATGCCCAGGAGGGGCCAGCAGGGGAGGTAGCAGCCAGTGGGATCCTTCTGTGCTGATTCCTGGAGCTGGGAGACCCCTGGTGGGCAGAGGAGGCAAGTGCATGCGGCGCTGGATGATCCAGGTGCTTATAGCGGAGTGGTGAGTCAGCAGGTGGTATGGAGGTTAAGGCAGCTGGATCCCACATGGTCAACTTCATGATCTGAGTCCTGAACTTGGCAGCTTGAAGATCATGCTGGGCTCGTGTGCATTGTGCCCAAAATCCTGAGAGGAGAATGGAGGAAAAGGAATTCTGGTATGGCTGTTTCCCTGGGGGATGATTTCTCACTTTCCCTCTCTCTGTCTCTGGCAAGCACATGTGCCCTACAGTAAAAAAGTAAAACACAACACAACAAAAAAACCCCGAAAAAACTGGGTAATACAGAGATGAGGCAGGTCTCCAGAGAAGGTGACTTTAACTGGGTCCAGGAGAGAGTGATACCAGTGGGGCGAGGAGTGTATATCCAGGAATAGGAGACTTGGTTTCTGCTTGCTTCCCATTTTAAGCTGGGCTGCTGGACTTCCTAACCAATTAATCAAAAGCTTTTTTCTTATTCTCCTTTTTGCTTCCTGTGTCAAAGCTGCTCTCACCTTTGCTTTTCCTTGTTGCAAACTTGGCCCATCTCGTTTCTTTTCCTCTGAGTCTGTCGTGAAGATGGCCTCTACCCTGACAGACACGAGCTCACCCTTGCCCTGCCCATCTGCTCCATCTTGGTGACCAAGCTCCCCTTACTCAGTTGGGCCTGGTCATAGTTGGCGTTCCCCTTCCGCCCACGTGTCATCCTTTGTCAAAGGCCAGATGGGAGTGCATGACCCTGTGGGCAGTGGCCTCATTTCAGGCCATACTTAGCTCTTTCTTGAGGGGTTCCTGGGTCGGGTGTTGCCTTCCGCCAGGGCTGGTGGCTGCTACTGTCCCATCACCACAGAGCCTCTCCATGTGCCCTTTCGTCTCTCTGGAGCCTCTGCCTGCTAAGTACTTTCACATTCCTGTCAGGTACTTCAGATCTCAGTGACACAAGAAGTCAGGCATCGGGTTGTCACGTTTCTCTGAACCCCCAGGATTTTTGACCCCTGCTCATTTGCCCAAAGTGTGATCTGTCCGTTGGTAGGAGTTCACTTGACCTGAAGGTTGTCAGGACCGAGGAAGCAGTGTGAGAGAAGGCCCTGAGATAGACAGCCCTGACCCTCCAGCCCTGGGGCCAAACCCACCTGCCCCTAAGGTAGCTGCCCTTCATGTGGGCGCCCTGTAGCATCTTCTACCGTGCCTTGATCACTGTTGCACTTCCATGTATCTGAGTGGTTATTCTCAGGTCCGTCTCCCCACTGGTTGGCGAGCTCTCCAGGCCAGGGTCTGTCTGAGTTGTTCACGCTCATCCCCACGGTGCCTGGTGTGTGGTGGGCGCTACAGCTTTGGCCTTTAGAAAGGTCTCCAAGATAGCTTCCCCATTGGCTTGCATATCCCAGTTCAGTCTGAGTTGTCCAACGACGGGACCACACATGGGGATAAAGGCCAAGAACAATTTCCACAAGTACACTACACACGTGCACCCCCTGTGTGCACACGCGCCCCTTACAATCCTCCATGCTGCACCCTTGGCTCAGTAGTCATCCCCAGAGGCTCAGGCCCTTGAGGGCTGGGTCTGCCACTCCGCGTGTGTGTCACTGAAAGACTGACACGGTTGTGCGTGTGCCTGAGAGAGATTGGCTAGCTGAAGGAAAAGGAGAGAGAGACCAGCAGGGATTGAGAGTTGTGAGAGATGGAGGGAGATGAAGCATCTGAGAGAATGTCCGGGAGAAAGATAAAGGTACTAGAGAATGAGCAAGACGGAGAACGTGTGAGAGAGACTGAATTCAGTTAGAGAGTCAGCAGGGCCTGGAGCCCCTTTTCCTCCGTAGAAGGTGGGGTGACCAGAGCTGAGCAGTTTGGAATTATTTGGACCAGTTCTTTTTTTTTTTTTTTTTTTTTAGAGGTTTTTCGCTATAGGGCGCGTGTGCTCGCCAGACAGAGACAGAGAGAGAGAAAGCGAGAAATCACCCCCCAGAGGGGATGGCCACGCCACAATCCCTTCTCCTCCATTCTCCTCTCGGGATCTTGGGCACACATGCACACACGCCCGGCGTGAGTTTAAGCCACCGGGTCCGGGACTCGAACTGCAGTCGACTACGTGGGAGTCCAGCGACATAGCCATTACGCTAACTGCTGGTTGGACGAGTTTTTGACCCCCGTCAAAGTCTGGCTCACAAGTAGAAAAACCCAATTCCTTTAAGCAACCAAAAGCTGGGGGCAGAGGGGAGAGGAGGCTGGGGCCTGGGACAGGATGCTGGGCTCTTGCGGGTCCTGGGCAGATCTTGGACATGGGGTGCCCTCATGGCCCCACTTTGGCCAGGACACATGGCGGAACTGCAGGTAAACTTAAGCACTTCACAGTTTTTGCTCTGGGGGTGCTTGGAGGGCCTGGACATTGGAATCCATAGCAGCAGAGGTCTCGGGAGCAGCGTGGGCCAAGGAGTGAGTGGGGGTCAGGACACATGGGGGTGAGGTGCAGGCCTGGGCTCACCATCATCTGCCACTCCAGCCCCGCCCCAGAGGTTTGTCTCCAGTGTAACGGCTCCTGGTGAGCAATGCCTAGAAGTTCTGTTCTTGTCAGAAACAGGGTCCTGTCTCTTACGTGGCCCGCAACCCTGACAAGAAGGGCCTTGAGGCACTGCTCCAGGGATCAGCCAGGCCGGGCCTCTCTGGGCCTCCAGGAGGGCCTGGGGACACACCTGAGAGGGGGAGAGCCTCTGGATGAACTCTGGAGGAATTGTCCCCTGTGGTGTATGGAGCGGAAGCTGCGCCTTGAGGAACGGGGTGGGGACCTGGCCTGGAAAGGAGTGTTTGTACACACATGCTCTGGGGGGCTGGGGGAGATCCTCGGAGCAGGCCTGCGTGGGGGCTCAAAGACGGTAGTGGAGTAGGGGGGCATGTGGCCAAGGTAGACGTGGGAAGGTTCCTCTGTCTTAGGCAACAGGCACTTGCTAGTCCCTAGAGACAGACCTCAGGGGAATACAGCTAGGCAGGAGGGCAGCCCCTCTCCTTCCGTCTTCCCTGGCTGTGAGGGCACTAGCCTGGGAGTTCATGGTGGTCACTTTCCTGTCCTCTGAGAGGGTCATCCTGGAGGGCGGAGGACATGAAGACTCTGCAAGGAAATCAGGCCCTCTGGGCCTCTGGGCAGGGGCACTGTGGCGTGATGCACGTGGCGTGTGGGAGGGCTGTGCTCCACGGTGCTCATAGTCATGTCACTCACCTGTGTGCCCCACCACTCACTTTTTTTGTTTTGTTTTGTTTTGTTTTGTTTTTTAATGGTGAGTATCCTCCCTCAAAAAATTCCTTCCCAAAGCCAACCAGGTTTGGGGCGGTCAGAGTGAGGAGCTAGACAC